TTGAACACTTCGAACGTATTTGACTTTTCTCTTATAAAGTCCACCCAAGTAAATCTCGAAAAATCATCCACACATACAAACACATATCGCTTTCCACCAATACTTTCAACCTGCATCGGACCCATAAGATCCATGTGAAGCAACTCAAGAACCCGTGTCGTAGAAATAAGTTGCACCACTTTGTGCGAAACTTTTTTTTGTTTGCCTATTTGACAAGGTCCACATACCCTAACAGACTTTTCTCCCATCTTAAGAACTCCTCTAACAGCCCCAATATTCACAATCTTCCTCTGAGTCTTGTAGTTCAAGTGCCCTAGCTCTTGATGCCAAACTTCGGTTTCAACCATAGTGCTCTTGTGACAATAATGTGGAGAAGTCAACATATAACAGTTGTCTGAGGATCTTGATCCTTTCAAAACACATTTTTCAATTTTATCAAATACTCGACACTCATCTTTGTAGAACCTTACATGAAGTTCTTGATCACACAGTTGACTTATGTTGATCAGATTAGCCTTTAATTCTTCAACCAGTAGAACATTCGTCAATCTTGGAAGACCTTCAATGTCTAGCATTTCTTTTCCGAGAACATTGCCCTTGACACCATTTCCAAAAGTCACATGTCCCTCTGTGCAGCTTTTTACATCTTTCAAGAAGCTTCTATCACCTGTCATGTGCTTTGAACATCCACAATCGAAGTACATGTACTTGCAGTGGTTGTTTTCAAGGAAGTGTGGGCTACATGACATTTGAGTTCTGATTTCCTCACCAACACTCGATGAGGGGTTCTGTAATTGGCACCTATCTTCTTTCTTGATGATCTTCTTGCAAGCTTTGGAATAGCAAAAGACATCCCTCTCAAATTGTTCAAATATCTGTAGCATCGAGGTCGAATGTGCCCCGGATAGTAGCAGTAGTGACATGTGGGAGTGAATCTTCCTTGCTGAGACCGTGACTCAGGTACTTTCTTGCTTATTACTAGCTGTGGTTCCAGTGGGGTAGTTTCTTTCACAAATACAGTCTTCGAGGTAGAACATTCTCCAGTGTAGTCGAGACCACAATGATCACCACTAGTTTTACCCATAGATAGAATATGTTCCAATTTAGAGGTACCGGAATTCATCATCTTTAGAGTCCTTTCGGTATGCTCCAATTCGGCCTTTAATTCTTGCAGTTTCTTCTCTTTTTCAGCACCCTGTGCCTCATAGTTTGCAGCAGCTCTCGTAAGAACTTCCTTTTCTCTGACAAGTTCACCTACACGTTCCTCTAAGGACTTGTTCAGTTTGCACACCTTAATCCATTTGTTAAACATGGTTTTGTATGCCTCCTGTATTGCATCATTAGTCAGTTCTTCTCTGTCACTGCTGCTATTAGAATCTGTCTTAATTCCTTCATTTTCACTGTTCTCAAGTCCTGTTTCAGCAGTTGTTATAACACGGTTTGTGACACAATCTGTAACACTGACTGTAGAGTCATCCACGCCAGTATAAACATTGAAGGCTACATAATTGCTGATGTGGTCATTATCTTCCTGACTTCCTTCTGACTCTTCATCACTCCAGGTTGCAGTGTGTGACTTCTTTTTCTTATTGAGGGTGTTTGCACATTCGGATTGAATATGCCCATATCCATTGCACTCCCGGCATTAAATACCTCTGTTTTTTGTCTTCGATTCAACACTATTTGCTACAGATTTGGCATTTTGAAAGTTACTAGAATTGTCAAAACTTGGGTTTCGGTTTTTCTTGTTGAACTTCATTATTATGTTAAAATTTTTTGTCAAAAGTGCAAGAGACTCAGTCAGGTCATCTTGATCATCTGAATCTTCCTCCAACTGAGGCTTTTGAACTCCAACTTGAAAAGCAGTCTCCTTCTCCTTCTTTTCTTCATTCAAATTCATCTTGAAAGTCCGTAGAGATCCCATTAACTCTTCTAGCTTCATAGATCACACATCTTTGGCCTCCTCAATAGTTGTAACTTTATAAGTAAATCTTATAGGAAGAGATCTCAAAGCCTTCCTCACAAGTTTTTCCTCAGGAATTTTTTCACCAAGAACAAATGGCTCATTAGCAATATCACATAGCTTTGAGTTAAACTCAGAAATTGATTCATTTTCATGCATACGTAAATTCTCAAACCTTGTGGCGAGAATTTGTAGCTTTGATAGCCTCACAGTAGCCGTGCCCTCATGCGCCGTCTGTAGAATTTTTCAAGCATCCTTGGTCGTCTCACATGTTGAAATGAGTTTGAATTGATTTGCATCTACACCGTTAAAAATAACATTCAATGCCTTTGAGTTATTGTTTGCCAACTTTTCCTCATAAATTGACCAGGAAGTCTTGGGCTTTATTGTTTCTTTTCCGTCAGCATCTTTGGTTTTTGGGTGCTCCTAGCCAGTTAACACTGCACGCCATGCCTTCTCATCAATACCTTTGATGAACGCCTTCATGCGGGCTTTCTAATAGGAGTATTCGAGCCATCGAGGAGAGGGGGACGCGAGACCGAGCCACCTTCTTTTAGAAAATCCATCCCTATTCTAACATACCAACTCCCAAAATCTCACCAAACAAAGGGGTAGTGAACCGCT